ACCAAAAGAAGGAATTCCGGCTGAAGTATTACTGGATACCTGGTAACAAAAGCCCTATATAGGTTACAACAGTAGCTATCATAAAGCAAGTATCACTAGAGAAAGACAGGAAGAAGGAAGCAGACAAACATGAGAATATATTTAAGAGATGCACAATTTTATCTATATAAACAATTACCTTTTTGTTTTTTCTATTGATAAGACAGCTTTTACTGTCAATTTAAGTAATATGTAAAATATATTTATATTGTAGTTATATAAGTGTAAAAGATATATTAAACACCAAGTTCCTTGGTCCTTAGTAAATGGGACAGCTGAGTTAAGTCTAAGCCCAAGAGAACACCATGAAAACAAGTAAAAAATGCAAAAAATAATAAAAACACGCCACACTTTCAAGATCATTTCTGGGATTTTGCTTTCAAATGACTGGTTTTTTATGTGATTACTGGTGATTTTAAAAATTTATAGAAAAAACGAAAAATTTAACTTTCTATAATCAACAAAAGAACAATAATTTCAAGAGCAAGACATGTGCAATGCTGGATACTGAATGCTGAATGATCGAGTATCTACTGAACCCTTTGTCGAACAAATAATATAAAGCTCTCTTTTGACAGCATTACATGTACTTTAAAAGGATTAGCCAAAAGTAATGATAGAGGACCAACAACAAGGGATGAAACTTTTTTTTGGCTGTGTGCAGCTTGCTCTTTGGTATGTCTGGTTGGAACAGAATGCCTGAATTGCCTTCTAGCCCTAGATTAGCTTTGAATAGGTTGGTGTTATTGGACTTTGGCATTCTGCTCAAGGCTGTTTCAAGGGAGTTTCCATTTCCAATGCACAAAGATTGGTTGACCTTGCTGCATTCTTTAATCTTTCTTTTTCCTCTTTTATTTCAAAGAATGTCTTACCCTCCCTGTAGTAGCCCTTTATGTCTTTCCTCTCCAATTAAACTTATTTTTCTATCTAAGCAAATTCAAAGGACTAATGGTCCCATAAAAACTTCCACAAAACAATTAAATGAAAAGGCACAAAACAAAGCTCAATAAAGAACACAAATGAAAGAAAGATAGTATCATCTTACATTGCCAAAGCTTCCATTCAGTAAATTTTGATTTTGTTGATATGAAGATGGAATATTGCCTGCCAAAAGTAAATGTAAGATATAAAATAAAAAAGGTTCTTTCACAGCAAGCAACTAGTTCTGTTAAAGCACAAACAATTACCTTCATTAGATGTAGTAGAAGTGCTAACATTTGAAACCACTAGGTCATCCCATTCAAGTGTATTAATCTCATGAAGCTTCTGCTCATGACTTTTGACTGTTGAATTGCCATTAAGCTCTGTTTATGTCCAAAAAAGAAAAAAGGGTTGAGGATATATATACCTAGACAAGGAAAGAAGCAACACTATGTATGACAGCAATAATAGTAACCATATATAGGATCATTATATCATAACCAATTAATAAAAAGGCTCTTATCTATGGTTTCCTTTGGGAAAATGGGCATAAGACAGAAATGGTGGGAGTGAAAGGAATAAAAATTTTGCAATGTAAAAAAGAAATCTATGTTGTGCATATTATTTTATCTTAACTAATTATCCAACTTATTTTTTTCCCTAACAAACACTTAACATCTTCTGAATATAAGATCCCAATATTGCAAAGAAATGTAATAAGCCTTTCATATTAATAGCCTCAAGAGTATAACTTGTAAGAATATAGACTGAAATCATCTAAAAGTTAGTTCTCACCAATGGCATAAGCAGTTTTTGTCCCAGAATCTAAGTCTTCTGATGGAATCCAAGAAGCAGCTGGATCAGAGGCAGAACTTGAATTTGAATTTACAGGTGTAACAGGAGAACCTTGCAATTGCAACTGTATCATAAACGACCACCTAACAAAGGTTAGAAAGCCAAATTTTATTCAATAACTAGTTGAAATGGTAAAGCATAAATGGTGCATATCAAACATTGGGAGTCAAGGAAAGGCTCCTCTAAAGTGAGTAAGGGTGTATCCACCCTTGATTTAATTTAACTTAAGTGGGATTTTAACTCACTAAAATTTAAGGGTGGATACACCCATTGCTCACTTTAGAGGAGCTTTTTCTGCTCCACAAACGATGAGGCCCACTTTAAGTGGGCTCTAATACCAACTTGAAACAAAGACAAGGGACCAATTTTTGACTGAAAAACTTGCTTAGGAGAGAGTCTGCCAGGCCTATCACATATATAGAAATTGTTACAAAGTGGTTTGCATTAACTAGGGAACAAATATTACAAGATATTCAGCCTAACTAGTAACTACCCTAATTAAGTATAGCTAATAAAAGGAAATAGTCACAAAGAAACCAATAAAATATTCTGACACAATTTCAGCCTATATCTCATAAAATTTCAATAATCTTATCGCAATTTCAACAATACAACCTTATCATAATCTCTACGATACACTAAAAATATAAGGTTTTTCTATCAGGCAAGCAACATGCACATATAAAACCATAGTCACAACTTGGACATGAAGTTAAATTTTGTAAAGGAAAAAGGAAGGAAGAAAATGGTTAACAAAAGTACACAACCTCTTGTGTTTCACGATAATGAACAAGGACTATGTGCTCCAGACTCCTGAAAAGAAAATCATAACAATTATAAGCCACATAACTATTGGCAAACTTCTTTTTATTCTGTTTGACAAAAACGATTGCAAGAAATACATAACCCCCATTATTAACTCAGTTCACAAATACAGATATGCATGATATATTGGAAATGGGATCTTGAAGTCAAGCAAAACATACTTATCAAGCAACCAATAACATCTACGAACAAAGGTTGGTTTATCTTGGCCATGTGCATAATATACGTGGATCCTTTCTTCATTGCCAACCTGATTGATGACAGAAAAAAAAAAAGAACAAAATGAATGTAAAAAATCAGACACATACATCATTAGTGACTCAATCGAACATTAGAATTGCATATAACAAAAACTGTAGGAAGAGAAGTTGGTCATAGAAAATATAAAGTGTAATACGGTGACAAGATTCTAGAGAAAACATAATTTATTCATCAAATGTCACCAAGAAATAATGATAAAACTATGACTAAATATTTTACAACTGTAGATGCACAAACCACAGAGAATGTGTGATATAAATCTAGCAGTACCCACCCAGTTAGTTAATTAATACTCCTAAATCTAACAGAAATGATGTCTAAATCTAGCAAATGTCAAAACTCCCAAGTCCCAACAACAAACCACCATTCGTGGCTCAAGGAAGAAAACACATTGAATTGAAGATAATGTCAATGCACAACTGAGCTTTAGAAATCTCCCAGTGTTTTAAGGTTTTAGTATCAAGGTGGCAGGTCGTCCAAACCTATGATCCCATGAAAACTATACAAATCTCTCACCACTAACGCAATTCTAGTGGCTTATTTAAATATTTAACCTAAATACTCATAAGGCTACTTGATATACTCCATCATACTCATCTCAATATTTTATTCCCTTCACAATCCATACTAATAGAAAAAGGGAAGTATTTTGATCACCAATATATTATAATAACTACTCATTATCATAAACATGATAAATTATCCCCTCTAGATATAAGAGACAACAACCACAGAGCCATATATCATTTGTAGTTAGCCACAGGTTTGTTTGACAAATCAAATAAATAAGCTAGCTAAAAGCTGATAGGCAAGTGAATTGAATTAAATGCGTTAGGTAAAACTAGCCATTGAACTAACTAGAATTATAAAATGACAGTTAATTACTGGTGGTAACTATGTAAATTTTTAAAATAAAAAAAAATTATCACTTTCCAAATTTTAATTTAATTCAAATAATTTATCATTTTAAAAATTTGGATAATAATTTTTTAATTTTATTATCATTTTTAAATATTTTCTATTAAATGAAATCAGATGACATAAATGAATTTATATTATAATTATACATGTATATAAGTAAGATTTAATTCTCATTTCAATTCTTAATTCACACAGCTGGTCTACCAGAAGACTCACTAATTCAAATAATTTATCATTTTAAAAATTTGGATAATAATTTTTTAATTTTATTATCATTTTTAAATATTTTCTATTAAATGAAATCAGATGATATAAATGAATTTATATTATAATTATGATGATTTTGTATTATAAAGAAATGATATTTTATGAGAGTGACAGTAACAAAGCTAATGAAATAATTCTAATAAGATAGAGAGGGTAAAAAAAAAGAACAGTTCAAACACTATACAAAGTAGTGTTTAAAAAAATGCTACAAGCTACTGAAATAAACTCATTTACCAAACAATTCTACTTTGGCCAAACAAGCTTTTAAGCTAGGCAAATAAGCTAAAAGCTAGCTTATCTTGCTAAACTAAACACTACATTGATCAACTGGTGCCATTGGCCACTCTAAACCAAAGATTTTGTGAAACTATTTAGACAGTCCAATCAATGGGGATCAAGGAAAGGCATAACAAGTCATTGTAGACTATTAAAAAAGACCAATTTTACTAAAGCAGGCAAAAGTGCAAAACCATTAAAAAGATCAAATTCAATATAGGAGAAACCATTAAAAAACCCCTCTGGATACATGTTCAAGAATCTATATTCAATGGGGTACTTGCTAATACAAAACTTCAAATAAACACCCAATTAAATGAAAACCCTCACTTTCAAGTGTTCATGGGCTTCTTTAACAGTTTTCCCATCACTTTTCTTTTTCCAATTGTGCCCATCTTTTCTGAAATTCCTAAGCATCTTGCGGTCAAATAGTACAATAGTACCACCTGTTTTACAAACAAAATTATAATATAACATTAGCACTGATGATTGGAATCCTGTTGGACATCATATAATTCTCAATACTGCAAACACTTTGTCAGTTAGATGCAAAAATACTACTTAAATTAAAATCCCATTTCATAGATCTATGAAGGAAGAATGCTAGGAATCAATTATAGAGGTTTTATATTGCTTTATAGTCATAATATTCACAACATATACACTTGAAAAATGCATATATTTGCATATAAACTTTTCTTCTTTTACATATTTTAATTTTAGTTAAGACATGCTTCAACAAGAACTGAAGGATCTACATGTTTACAATATTTATAACAGTCTACAAAACATGAAATGCTCAGTAGCAAGAAAACCAAAATGTTTCATGGAAATTAAGAAATATAAGTTGAAAAAGACAAGAACAAATATGAGAAACAATCTATACGATAATGCATATCTAATTAAAAATGTAAAGTTGCTGTTATTAGCTGCATATGATTACTTTCGGGCAAATTCACCGGCTTGGCATGGATCTTGAAATATTTGTGATTATAGAGTATGGCATGAATCTCATTGGGACGAAGCCATCTGCTTTTTGCTTCCTCCATAGTATTACTAACGTCCAAATCTGGGCCACATATAAGAAATTACTTTAGAAAAACAAATCAACAGTGGTGATTAATATGAATTGACCATTGACCACACAATTGGTAGCAGTGACAGTGATAATATCTGCAGTTGGAAGCAAACAGCAAAAGAAACACATAGCAAATATGTATTTTGTCAGATTCCTTTAAAGACCATCTTGAAAAGTACAATTTTCTATACCATATTGAACCAAAAATTAAAGCCACACTTTCACATCTTGAATTTTTAATCTTTTGCTTCCTTTAATTAGTTCAGTTCCTAACAAAAGCTAATATTGATATGTAAGTTTGACGTCTCAGCTGGTTTAGTGAGTCTTGGGACCAGTCCTTGTTAAGTCAGAAACCTTCTAAATATATGTTGCAACATTTTGTTTGAACATATTGCAGAGTTCAAAAAATTAATATATTCTGCAGTCACAACTGCATAAGACACTAGCAAGTAACAATTACTAAATCTTATGCATGTTAGCTTAATACAGAAAACAGTTTTACTCATAGTCATAGCAAACACAATACATAGAATTTATTGTTAATAACAATATTTCCGAGAATTTCAGTTTAGTGAAGTCAGTAATCAGTACTCTATTTCAAACATATGATAAAAGAACGTTCTGGTATTTAAGCACTGTTTGGATAAACTTCATAAACACTTATAAAAGAAGAAAATATGAAGGTAAAATGAATTGAATTTCTCCCATAAGTCAAAATCAACTAATGCACCTTAGCTTTTTGGAGAAGTTAGATGAAAGAGATTATATAAAAATAAAAGTTAAGTGCATAAGTTGATTTTAACATATGAGAGAAACTCAATTCATTTTACCTTTTAAAAAAAAATTCTATAAGTGCTTAAAGAGGAATTTATCCAAACAATACCTACGTCTGTTGCCAAACAAGGAAAAACAGTTTCTAATACTAGGAAGCAACACAAAAAAATTGGGGAGTTGTCATGGTACCCTGATTTTTTAACCTTAGTACCAATACCCTTAATTTAAGTTCTCAAAGAATGATTTCTAGTTAGTTCTCCCAAAAAAGTTTCAACTTCAACAAGTTTAAACGACAACCAATACCTCCAAAACCCGGTATTTCCTTGTTTTTCTCCCAGAAAGGAACACAACAGAAGTTCACACTTGATAAGGAGAAATAATCCACTACCAAACCAACCACACTTTCTTCACTCCAAGGTTGCTTTGAAAATCACACACTAGCATCTTTAGGAGGCAAAAACTAGCTATAAGTGAGACCAAACACCAATTATACACTAAATTTAAACTTCACCCCCGTCCCCCCCAAAAGAAAAACTATGATAGAATGATACAGAAAAGAAGAGGGAAATTCTCAAAATTGAAACTTAGTGAAAGTTGAGGTTCAACCAAACACGAGCACAATCCAAATAGAGAGGTAAGAGGGTAAGAATGCATGTACCCTCCAAGGTGTGAAAGCCATGTATCTCTGCACCCACAAGCTGCCCCGTTAAGTTGTGTGCCATCACAACAAAATAAATTTAGCCCCCAACACACCTTCTTTCTCACCACAAAACCAACGACTATTGCATCACCGACAACAACCTTGAAGAAGACAAGAACAAGTCAGCACACACATGATCAGACAAAAGGTAACAATAAACGTAGAGAGATAATATAGAATCCCAGACCTTGAACAAAAGACTTAAATGGTCAAAAGTCAAAGTGCAGAGAGAAAAAAAAAGCAGAAAAGATGAAATTTTTGCCAAATTGCGGAGATGGGTGTGTCAGAATCGGAAGAAAGAGAACAGGGAGTAGTCCGAGCTCTATAAATGAATGACACTCTGTTGATTTTACATTTTCTGAATTATTATTTTTACCAGTTATTTTCTTTTTTAATGAAAAATATTCCAGACTTGTAAAGTGGTACAACGATTGCATTAAAAACCGAAAGTGAAAGAAAATAAAAACATATTTTTAGGTTTTTTAATAGAAGAAAATAAATTAATTCTTATAGTGTAAAAAGTAAAAATAAAGAAAAACATGTGTGTCAAATAATATAAATAAAAATAAAATGTGACATAAATATTTTTTTTATTCTGCGAAATATTAACTCATTCTTCTTTTTATCTAATCTTGGAATCAACATTATATATATTGAAAATTAGTTGTAAGAAAGAAAGGATTAAAATTCCCATCTTCAAGATATCTTTCATAACAGTAATAATAGTATCAAAATGTTAATTCCGTGCAAGGAAATTATTATAAGTGTTCATTTATTTTGTAGTTTTTTTAGAAAAGTAATTTCAGTTAAAAATTATAATATAAAATATAAGATAATTAGATAAAGTTTTTTGCACCGCGTAGGAAAAGAAGAAAGCTAAAAAGGTTTGCATTTAAATAAGGATGTAAGATTTGGACAGTGAGAAACTTGCCCCACTACTATTTAATATATATAATTTTTTATCTAAAAAATAATATATTTTAAAAATAAAAATTATATTTTAATAAAATA